AAGCTTTTGGTATAGCCATCCTATCCAAATCCATGCAAATCTTCTTAGGGAATTTAAAGCATGACATAGAAAATATAGGTATGTCATTAGCCATAGCCTTCACCATCACTTCTCTCAGTGTAAAAGTTAGAAGCCTTTATTTTCACCCTTAAAGCTTAAAATCCATCTTACTTTTCACAAAAGTTAAAGCCTCAGACTCAAATATTCCCTAAATCATTGGCAATCCCAACTACCTTCTAGGAAAATTTGAAGCATTAATCCCCAACACCTCAAACACCACTTTTTTCAACTCATTGCTTGCATTCTTTAAGAAACAAATACAAGATTTATTCAAGTTTACTGCCAAATGCCTTACAATATGCTTTAAGGATTCTTTTCAAAACTCTACAATTCTTCTTCCTTGCCTCCAAAAAGAACAAAGCATCATCAATAAATAGACAATGAGCTAAAATAGGATATTTTTTAGCAAGCTTAACCCCTTCCACTTTCTATTATTAGCATTCCATTACACCATTCTTGACAAGACATCAACATCTAAAATGAAAATGTTGGGAGATAATGTAGCTCCTTGCCTTACACCCTTCTTCATGTCAAGTACACCTATCATCTTACCACCAACAGTTATATCCACATCAACAAACTAAACACAAATCATTGTCCATGCTATCTATTTCTCTCTAAAACCAAACTTCCTCATTATAGCTTCTATAAAATCCCACTCAAACCTATCATAGACTTTATTCAAATTAATCTTAATATCCATTTCAACCTCCCTACCTTTCTTCTTATTTCTCAAGTAATGGAAAGCTTCATGAGTTATTATTATATTATCTTGAATCAACCTCCTAAGCACAAAAGCTCTCTAATTAACAAAAATCAATCTAGGCAACGAAGCTTTCAGTCTATTTGCAAACACCTTAGACATAATATTATAAATGAAGTTACAAAGCCCAATTTATCTAAATTGACCCATATTTTCAACATTATCAACCTTGGGAATTAAAACCACATTAGTTTTATTTATACTTTCCAAACTTGTCGAATTCTGAGGAAGAAAAAAATCTTGCACCATTCTTACCACATCTTTACTCACCACATTCCAAGAAAGAGTAATAAAAAAAATTCTAAAAAGCCATATAGACCAGGTGCTTTATTTGCACCAAGTTGGAATACAATAATTCCAATTTCTTTAACAATATCAAAACATTGTAGAAGTTGATTGTCCTCTTCTATTACCTCATAATCCACATACCTCAATACTTCCTTAATGCCTCCCTCATGTTACAAAGGTAAATGTCATGTGAAAAGTTTTTTTTATCTTAAATGTAAGATTTTAATATTTTTTTGTCTTTTATGTTTATTATTTTGCTTCCAAATTATAGGCATATGATCAATATGGGTAGTTTTCAATATAAATGATTAAAGTGAGAGATATGTTGAAGAAGTTAACATATTTTTTTATAAATAATAAACTTAACTAGTTTAATTGATATGTATAAAATATTTATCTAATTTCTACATTTAATGTCTTGTTCAGTAGCAAAGAATTAGGATCGGGAAGTGGAATCACAATTTTTGTCCGGATGGTATAATGGTATCATAGAACTTGATTTCTCATGGAACTCACTTCCATCAAAATCAATAGAACTAGGTTTCATGCCTTACCCGATTGAGTTAGGTCCTATCATCTCCTTATACTTTTTTACCCCTGCTTTCTCCTCCCTCTCTCATCACATTCTCCCTACTTCTCTTATCTCGTTCTCTCTCCCTTCACCAATGACAGCAATGAACCTTCACCAGCAATGATGGCCCTCCACCAACAACGACAACTATTCTTCATAATTTTCTACCAGTAACACACAGGCTAAAAATTAGATCTTTGGCATCTTTGGTCTTTTACACTAATGTGAGTCTATGATGATGCTTGTAGATTCTAATGATCTATCTAACCTACAATTTTTAGTTTAACTATGAAAAGGGTAGAGCAGAGGACAACAGCGGATGGCGATAACTTTAATGAAGATTATGGCAAATAGTAATGACTCTTGATTGACAGACAATGATTTCTGGTTTGATTTCTTCTTTGATTTTTATCTTTGATTACTCCAGTGCATCTAAAGGTTGATTTCATGTGGAAGGATTAGAGGTTTTCGGTCAAACCTTTGATTTCCTTTATCCTTTTATGTTGTTGTTTTTTTTTTTTGTGGTTTTGACTATTTATGCTTGTATTTATTATTTTTGATTTGAGATTTTGATTATCTATGCTTGGATTATTCTTTTCAATTTGGGGCTTTCATTCTTGATTGATTGTTGTTGCCATGCTTGCCTCGATTTTGGGTCTAGGTGGTGGTTCGCAATGGTGGTGAATGCTTTTGATGGCGATAAAGATTTTCTATTGAAGGGTATTTTAGTATTTTTATATTATAAACACATATGTCAATTAAAAAGTATACTCTACTTTCATGGGCACACCAAACATGCTTTAAAACTTTGTTCCCATCTCACTTCCTCTTTCACTTTCTTTTTTACTTCCACCAAAAGCTCTTTTACACTACCAAACGAGGCACAAGAGATTTAACATAAGTATTTGAAAAGAAAACATTAACTTGACATGATGATTAGAGTTGAAAAATAAGCAGACTCGGCTTATATGGGCTTGACCTTTAAGGGCTTGAGGCCTTAAGCCCGATTTTCTTAAAATACCTCATTTTCTGAAACTCAATTCTTATATAAAGGGCTCAAGGCCAAACTCGTAAGCCCTTATTTTTTAAAAAAAATTTTAAAAATTAAAATTTTTAATTTTAATATGTCATATATTTTTTAAAAATAAAAATTATAATATTTAAAAATTTAAAATAAAAATTATAATTTTAAAGTATAAATATATATTTAAAAGTCTACATTTAGTTTAAAAATTAAAAATATTTTATTTTTAATAGAAAAACAAAAAGGGGCCTGAAAGAGCTGCCCAAACCCATTTTTTCAAGGCCTATTAGGGCCAGGCTTGAAAGCCTAATTTTCTTAAAAATGTCATTTTTTCAAGCCTAAACCCTTATAAAAATGGGCTTAAATGGGCAGTTCTTCAAGTCCGGCCCTTATTCTTAATTCTAATGATGACATCTTAAAGCAAAGAGTTTTGTAAGTACTTAAAACCAATGAACAAGGGTTCACCTGAAAAATAAAAATATAATTTGTACCTTTGTTTCCATTATTTAATTGAAAAAAATTTATATACTTATTATTATATATTTAAGGTGCTGATTTTTAATTAAATTAAGACATGTATATCATTTATAAATTATTTATTTTATAATAAATTTTTATTATTAATATTATCAACGCATTAAAATCTACTTGTTTTAATTTTATTTGATAAAAATACATTGAGTATATAAAACTAAATACTTAAACGTTGTCTAATTAATATCACCGTGCCAGGTGTTAAATTAAATTGACCTAGACAAACGTAATTTTTCAACACACAGAGAGAAGTATGTATAATTTATCAAGAGTGCGTATTATCTACGAATTATGTTTATGTCTCAGATTTTATACAAAAACACATGATTACAATTTAATTTTATTGGAAAACTGCTCCAGTTAAAACAAAGTTGACAGTATTCTTTGAAAAAAAAAACTAAATAGACTGTATGTCAGTCTATTTTTTTTTTTTTAACCGGATGTTAGTATAAGTGCCTGGAGCATGGAAAAGTGAAATTGAAGTTTTCTTGTGGATGAAGAATCTATGGGCAAATTAAGAACCACCTACTGACACTCACTCTTCATCGCCTAATCTTTTTCTGAATCAGTTGTTGCATCGCTGTAGCGTAAGTCCAAGACTGCAAAATTCGCCTCTTGCTCCAAACATCAGTATTTTGTTTAATTTAATTAACCAATAAATATTAATTAATTGCGATGACTTGCACGTACCGAACAGCTCTGCTTTTTTTAAGCATTTGAAGTAGGTACGCCCTGGAGGATGCAAAAAAGGCTGTCAACTATCCATTTGATAATTGCCTAAGTAATTTTGCCCCATCCTTCATAAGGACCTGTTTAGTTTTTGTTTTTAAAAATTGTTTTGTATTTTTAAAAATAAAAAAATAAAAATTGTTTGAGTAAGTATTTTAAATTTAAATTTCAAAACTGTATTATTTTTTTTAAAAAAAATAAAAAATGAAAACAACTTGGAACTATTTACCTATTTATCATATTTGACTATTATAAATTATTTTCACTTATGATGAACAGCTACTATAAAGCTTCATCATTAATCACTGACAATATCCTATCCGCCATTTTTTAGTTGTAAAATTATTTTTAAATTAACATAATCAAATAAATTTTTATTTTATTTTGTTTTGAAAAGTAATTTTTAAAAATTTACTTTTTTAAAAAAATAAAAAAAATAGAGCAAAACCAAAAAAATCCTAAAATTTTCAATTTTCTAAAGAATAAACTCCATTGCCCTACTTTGACGTCACACACACACACACACAAATTACTTTTTTTTTTTTGGCAATAACATGTAGAATAAAGCTATTTTATTTTAATCTACTCAAGAATTCAAGACGGAGAATAAAGCTGATTGAACGTATGCGACCTTACACAACTAGCCGACTGGCATCATCTGACTTTTTTTTTTTTTTTAAGTACATATTCCTCATTGACTCGTCAGGTGCGCCGTGAGAGAGCATGTGAATCCAGTTAATACGCGAGAGATGGAGGAGATTACCAATTCTATACGTTGGTAGTACACTCTGATGCCTTAGATTCAACTCTGAATTCTGTAGCAACGATTGAAAGATTTTTTTTTTTTTTTTAGGGCCAGAAATAATTGAAAGAATAAAGACTCCCAAAACTAACCGAAAACTAGAGCCAAGAACAAGTTTCCTGCGAATTCGACCTAATTAGTGCTTTCAAGTTTCAAGTCTTTTTAGGCTGAAGTTCGTTGCTAGTATTACTAGCAGCTGGTCCCGCTCGTGGTCAAAATTGATTCTCGCGATTGGGGGGGGGGGGTGGAATGGAGGAAGCGTGGATTGGATAAAATTATTAAATACGGACATTAATGGACGTGGCAACTACTTCCAAGCTCCTTTTGCAGCACCCAGCAGTTGCCAAGTCTGCATATATAGAGAGACCTTAAGGTGGAAGTTGGCGTTGCTGGTTTTGGTCAAATTAAGTTATTATGGGTTGGCAGGGACGGAATCTGAAAGCCAAAGATCTACTCGGCTTCGCCTCTCCGATTGAGGTCTTTCACCTCTTTACGCTCACAATCCTCAGTCTTCTTCTCCCAACCTCGTTTCTTCTCCTAGCCAGGCTATCTGCTGCCCAGTCGTTTCCTTCCCCTCATCCATCTCCTCGTCTATATTCGCTCCTCCTTCGCATCAACCCAAACCTTCTCTACCTTCTCGTTTCTATTGTTAGCGTAGCCACTCTGATCCACGGCTTGACGTGCAAAATCACCCTTTTCACCCAATCATCAACCCCTCTTCTCAAACCTCCGCTCTATGCTTCGTGGATCCTTCTCTGTTCTTTCCAAATTTGCGTTGGCTTGGGCATCGAAGGAAACATATCGGCGGCTGCAGATGACTCTGGTTCCGCTTTTGGCTTCCCAGGAAGATTCTTCAGCAGACTGATTTTTCTCCTGGGGTTGCATGAGACAACGCAAGTTTGGTCCAGGACGGTGGTGAAACCGGTTGTGGATGATTCGGTGCTTGGGAATTCCAGGGAGGAAAGATGGGTTGAAAGGGTGGCCGTCGCTGCCAGCTTAGGTGGCATGTGGTGGTGGAGGTTGAGGGAGGAGGTGGAGATTCTGGTGGTTATGGCGGAGGCCAAGACGGAGCATTTAATGGATATGGACGTGCGGGATTTTGTTGGATGGTGGCTGTATTATCTGACGGTGACCGTCGGGATGGTCAGGATTCTCAAAGGGCTGTTGTGGGTCGCCATGATTTGTGTGCGTAGGAGGAGGGAGAGGGGGACTTCCTTGGCTGAGCCCGACGAGAATGATGACAAGGTGTGAATTTGACCAATTCTGTATTTGTCTTCCGTATTTTTTTCTTAATTGCGATTTTATGGTGCCAATTGACTGATTGAGCACCAATCCAATTGTATAAACTCGAATCCAATATCATGTTCATGATATACTCAGGGAATGGTTGACCTATATATATATGTATAAGATAACGCTTATCGAGCCATTATTCTTGAATTACAATACGTGTTCTTGGATAATAATTTATATAAATATATACAAGTGAGGTGAATATAACAGAGCAATAGATCATAGATGTAAACATGGTTTTGTAACAATTGTTTGAAGGCCCAAGAAATGATTTTTTTTTTTGGGGTATGCTTTGCACCTCCAGTACGGCCATTGAAATGCCTATATAGGACTGATGGAGCTATTTTAGAACAAATCTATACACTTGGATATTATCCACACAAAAAAAAAAAAAGAAAAGAAAAGAAAAGAAAAGAAACTGCACACTTGCCGTGCCAATTTGATGAGAAAATTAATTAGACCATAGAAAAAATGAACCGATAAGCTAATTACCATTGACACTTTGACAGTGTCTCCAAATTATTCTCGTTCGCGACTTGTGATTTATATCGCATAGTGGGATTGTGACTATGTGTGAGCTATTTCCGCGAAGAGTTCTCCTTCACCGTTATTCGTCATTGATCTAGTCAGAAATGAGTACCTGATTTTTTTTATTAGATGGGCAAAAGTTAAGCGTTTTAAAATTCTGAACATTTGTGACTTGTAATTATTGGAGTGCAAAGGATGTTAAACATCATTATTTTAGAAATAATCTTCTGTCCTTTTCCAAGTCCTTGTATAAGATAATATTCACTTGTAATGCACTTCTTTTACTACTGCTGCTGCTTGTACAATAACTATAATTTTTCTTGATAAAGAAAATCAAATCTTCATATATGTATGTATGTATCCATAATTCATCCACACAAAAACATCGGGAGAGACTCGCTATAATATATTTTACCTATAATTATTCAGCCATAAGCCCATAACTTAGTATGCGTGTAGAACATTTCAAAGTACTCTTGTTTCACTCCCCTGTATTTATAGAAGTAGCTAATCCTTCTTCCTTCATCCTTCATTATTATAAAAAAGGATCTCCTCTATTTTATAAAATTGTTTCGACTTGCTCGGCTGAAATTCTTAGGAAACTTTTATGTGATAGTGATATAATATTGGACAAGTTATTGGGCGGTCTGTTTGGATGCTAAAAATCGTTTCCGCAACGACAAACCAAAAACTGATAAGCTATAATGGTTACGGCAGACCTAAACCAGCCATCTTTGTTTAATACAAATTGTAGGGCTTTTATAATCGCTAAGCGACAGCTTTGATGGAAGTATCGAAATATCATAATCGAAGTTGCGTTGTTCCTTACACGATACACGTACTTTAATGTTTAAACAAGTCCGTTATGGTGAAGTTTCTTCAACCAATTAAATATTTATGTTGTACAGTTAGTGATGATAATCTATGCATCTAGCCCCGTCGACATTTAAATAGAAAAGCTCATTGTCTCGAATGTAAACCGTTAAAACTTTTTTCTTGCTTTCTTCTATCATCGGAATGGGGAATGACCATTTTTCTTTTACACCTTTCAATTTCAGAGGCATCCAGGACGGTTGTAGTTCCGTACAAGGGCAAGTAGTTGCGTTCCCAGGGAAACACGTTTTCTTTCAGGAACAGATTGATTCTTTCTCTACATCGCATGGGAAAGGAACCCAATCATATGACGCTCAAATTCATCTCCAGCAAGATGTGCCCAAATCTGACATCCAAATGTTTGAAGAGTTCAGCATTGACCCTGCTCTGCAAATGACACAGCCGTTCCAGGAAATCGTGGGGCTACAGAATCAGGAAGTGGCAAGTTCAGAACTTGTTAATGAGTGCAACAATAAGAAGGTTCCACAATCTTCTTCTTTAGCATACTTGGAGCTCCTGAGCAATTACGCAAGCAGATTCAAGAAGCTAAGGGTACAAGACATAACTGACTCGAACAATAGTGAAGCTCATGTGAGTCGCCAGGATTTGTCAGCTGAAGAAATAATAAGAGTGGCTGGAGCAAGGTATGTACAATTCTCTGCTCATTGGTATGATGATTATTGCATGCCTCTGCATCCATATGCCTCTGGTCTCGAGGTTCTGTCTGAAGAAGAAAACAGAGATGTTGAACTTGCTCAATTTCTTCTTGCTGCGGCCGAGAGGGTTAGTTGCCAACAATTTGAACGTGCAAGTAGGTTGCTTCTACATTGTTTATTTAACTCATCTCCTAGTGGAAACCCTGTACAGAGAGTTGTCTTCCATTTTGCTCAAGCGCTCCAAGAGAGAATCGAAAAAGAAGCTGGGAGCACCACTTCAATGGGTTGTGCTAAGAACTTAGAAAACGAGTTGATTCAAAAGTTGGATACCAACATAGCTCTTACTTGCCATCAGAAAATCCCTTTCAACCAAGTGATGCAATTCACTGGCGTGCAAGCCATAGTGGAGCACATTGCATCTAATAGCAGAATCCATGTTATAGATGTTGATATTAGGCATGGAATGCAGTGGACATGCTTGATGCAGGCACTCGTGGGGAGGAATGAAATGAAAGTGGAGCTCTTGAAGATAACTGCTATTGGAATTGTTGGCCAACCCAATGTAGAAGAGACAGGCGAAAGATTGTCGAGTTTCGCTGAGTCGTTGAACTTGCCCTTTGTTTATAAGCGAGTTTATGTTACGGACATGATCGAAATCAAGGAACAGCAGTTTGAAATTGACGATGATGAAACTGTGGCTGTCTACGCTCCATACGTACTCAGGACTATGGTATCAAGGCCTGGATGCTTGGAAAACCTGATGAGTGTAATAAGAAATATCAAACCAACTATAATGATGGTTTCTGAAGTAGAAGCCGATCATAATTCATCCTCATTTGCCATTCGCTTCACTGAAGCATTGTTCCACTACTCAGCATTTTTTGATTGCCTTGAAACCTGCTTAAAGGATGAAAATAGGGGCAGACTGGCAACGGAAGCAATATTATCTGAAGGGATAAGAAACATTGTTGCTGCGGAGGGAAGAGAAAGAACAGTGAGGAATGTGAGGATAGAAGTGTGGAGGAGGTTCTTTGCGAGGTACAGGATGGTGGAAATTGGATTTAGTGAGTCATCTCTGTACCAAGCTTGCTTGGTTGCCAAAGGGTTTGCTAGTGGCAGATTTTGCACTCTAGACACTAATGGGAAATGCCTTATAGTTGGGTGGAAGGGGACCCCATTGCATTCCGTTTCAGCTTGGAGGTTCCTTTGAGAAAATGATTGACACATTTAACAGATGGACTGCTTCAATTCATTGCAAGCTGTAATGTTGTATGTCCCCTTCAAATTCCCTCCGATCTTGTCCAATTCACATATTACTCAATTCATATAAGTTTGTGTTCATTATATCTGAATATAATTAATTACCTGGGCTAATTTTTCTTTGGCCAGAGTACTTGAATTACTTAGTTGATATAGGTTTATGTTTATTATATCTAAATATTTTGACATTTGCAATCCATGGGGTACATACGGAGAGGAAATGGGAAGATCTCATTTAATTTGCAATATATATGTGCGCACGCGCTCGCTAATTTTACGTTTGTGTAATCTTGAGAAGACATAAATGTTGGAATATTATTTATGGATTAGCATTAATTAATAAGCTCAATAGATTGGTCTTTATGATCTTGTGTGGACGTGATTGGTGGATCACACAAGTGAGTCCAATGAACAAAGGCTCAATCCACAGATTTTCAGAGTCTTCAAAGAGTTCAAAGATAATGGAGCAGTAGAAAAATTGAGTCGTATGTGTGCGATTATCGACTGATCGACTTATATGGATCAAATTGATAACCACCTTATTATATAATTAAAATAATTGTATCACATTATCTCTAACTTAGTCAGTTAAAAAATGGGGAATAACTGACAGCTATTGAGTTGTGGGTTGGGCCTCTGTCTACACTCGAAGTAATCGAGCTTTCTCAAGCGATCAATGGATTCCTCATGTACGTACAAAATTACTTTATTTTGTCATATTTAATTATATATATGAATTGAGATACTAAATTTAACAATAAATACCTAAAATACCTAAATGTTAAAGGAGTGCGGATTCTTCTTTGTTTTCTTCCACAAGTAGAAAGGATGATCATCCATTAAAAATATAGTCATATTCAATGTCAAAGTAGTGATTTTTCTAATTACTACTATATATTCAAACAAATTGAACATACTCATTTGCCTTATGACCTCCTCCATGATTCCGGTCATCTCGTGATAAGTAGTAGTTAAGGTTTTATTTAAGAGATGATTATTTTCTCACGGTGTCTAATGAATTTTATTGATCTTCTCTAATAGTATACTAAAAGAGTTTGAATTCTTAACTTTTACTCACCCAAACCCATCATAATCTTTTAAATTCAATTTACTTGTTCACATTTCACTTTGAGTTGGGAAACCAAAACAAAAAACTCATTTTGTCAACTAGAGGTATGAATCACAAGATGGGAGGGCAATTAATTTGAAAAGAAATCTTGAATTTTTTAAAGACCGGCATGTTTATAAATTCACAAATTTTAAATTGTCAAAATCATCCTTCTTTCTTTCTTTTATAAAGAATGGGAGCAACCTCTATTACTCAACTAGAAACAAATCGAGAGGTAGAAATCCCCTCAGAATCTCAACACAACCAATGTAAGATTTTTCTTGGAGGATCAACTAAAAAATTGCATTTATATTCCCACCTAACACTAAATTTTACTAACCAATTAGCACACATATTAATTTCTGTATAAACATGATTTATTTCAATGCACCAGGCATCATCAATGAATTTCATAGCGTGACAAATTTGTGTCAAATTTGTGTCAAATTGTTTTTTATCACTAAAAACAATTGGAAGTTCTTTAAAAGTCAAAAATAACTTTTGAAAAGTAATTTAAATAACCTTTTGAAAAAGGGTTTAATGAAAAATTTAGACCTAAATTATAGGTCTAAAGACAAATTAAATCTTAAACTTGTTTTGAGTATATTTTTAACTCTAAATAATTACATTTGTGGCAATTCAATCTTGATCGTTAAATTTGATTCAATGTTCATTATGCGTAAACAGTCATGTTTATTTTTGATGTTGACATAGGTGAGGTAGCCTTCTTCCTAATCTCATTCATGTCCACCAACAAAACCCATTCTTGCAAACTCATCACCATGAAACTCCCTCTACAATCAGAACACGCTCAAAAAGCACTCCTCTTCTTGATCCTCATCCTCACACCCTGTTCTTCTTCAACACCAGCCATGAAACCTCCTCCTCCTCCTCCTCCTCCTCCTTCTCTTTTCCCTCCCACATGCTTCCTCTTTTTCTATCAAATGCAACTTCTAGTTTTCTTTGCTACACCTTCTGTCATTGTCTCTTTGCTTTCTCTCAAGTCTTCCTTCTATTGACCCTCTCAATACCCTCCTTAACTAGAACTACTCATCCCTTAAACCACTTGAATCCCAATTGGGATGACTTCACGGGGATTTTCCCACCTGCTCATTTTGAACTCAATGAATTTAGAACTCTGGTTATCAATAATGACTTCTTCTATTCAAGTTTCCCACCTAGGATTTTGTAGTAATGCTTATAGCAACAACTTTATATTCACGAGACTCCTTTTGAGAGGTTGAATCTTGATGGGAGCTGCTCTTCTGACATTCTAATTTTTATTTTTAAAAGTTAAAGTAATACTTTTTCTCCAAAAAAAAAAGTTAAAGCAATACTATGAGGGTATTATTCCATGGCAATTGGAAATTAACATATCCTTATTTGAGTTGAATTTTAAGATCTTAACTCCAATTCATAATTTTCAGAACAAAAGAGTTAATAAAGTTAACTGGGTTTAAATTAAATTACATAAATTATTTCTTATCTTAAGTGATTTTGATTGCGTGAATATTATGAAAATTATATTTGAGGAAAATATATAAATTAAGTTTACTTGATAATCTTAAAAGATGAAACAAAGATGATTTAAACATTATAAGGCCATGATATGAAATTTGTGGGGTAAGTAGAAACTATATTAAGTAAAACATATATATACATGCATACATACATACATACATATATACATACATATATATATATTTTGTGTGGCACGTGGGCAAGCCACTATTGTCCCATTCCCCACCATTGGGCCAATTTATTTTTTTTTACATTTCTTCTTCACTGTGCATATACTCACAGTCCGAACAGAGGTAGGCGCGCCAAATAAGGGGGTGCGTCTGAGAGGATTGATTTTAAGAGGTTTGTCTCCATTAATTATTTGAAAACTTTTAAGGTCTAGATCCTCTCCTCATCCATTTTCTTTACTTCTCCTCATCCTCGCCTCCACCCTTAAACAATAAAATAAATAGTTTAGATTTATTTACTTTATAAAATAAAAAAATGATAATAAAATTTATTTAAATTAAGTAAATGATAGATTGGTCTCACAAAAAGATAAAATTTTCTTGGAGTCTCTTGGAATATTTTTGCCATTAAGAAATTAAAAGAAATGATACTTTTGCCTAGACATGCATTAGAGCCAGAAATTCGTAAATTTCCATTCACAACTTTAGTTTTTAGGTTAACAACTTTTGTCCTTAAATTCGCAACAATTTATTAGCCATTCGTAAGCCTTGATGTACAAATCCAAACATGCATCAAAGTTGAAAATTCGTAAGTCTCCATTCACAACTTTGGTTCCAATATTAACAAGTTTTGTTCCTAGATTCACAATAATTTATTAGCCATTTACAAGTTCTGGTGTGCAAGTTCAAATATGTATCAAAATTAAAAATTCGTAAGTCTTCATTCACAACTTTGGTTATAATGTTAACAAGTTTTGTCTTCAAATTCACTGCTATACAATAAGAAATTATAATTTATTAGTACCCTCTAAGTAAGTATCAGTAAACATGTTTTTCAGCTTTAAGCATGAAGAGAAAATGAAGACCTCAATTATTTACGCACAATAACTCGCATCAACTTCAACTATCACATATGGGAGAAGAAAATTTCAAGGAGGTACAACAAAGCAACAAAGGAAGAATGTTTACTTATATATAACCATGTATAGCAAACAAACAAAACAAATAACTTATGTACAGAAATAAAAAAAAAAGGGAACATGAGAACTAGGAGGAGGAGGAGGAGGAGGAGAGGGAGATGGACCAGAAGAATACCACGAAGGAGCAAAGAAGATGAGAACATGAGCAGGATGAACCAGAGCCTAAACATGTGCAAATTTTTCTTCAATGAGGGTTGGAATTTTTGTTTGTTTTGAGGGCAATTTGGTCATTTCATTTGATGTCCTAATGACAAAAAAATTTCAAGGGACTCAAGAGAAATTATACCATTTTATGGGACCAATATGTCATTTACTTAATTTAAATAAATTTTTCTATCATTTTTCCTATAAAATAATTCTCACATTACCATATAAAAATAAAAATAAATTTAAACTGTACAATTTACAATTGTATATTGTTATTAACTTTTTTATAAATTAAAATTTTTATTTATTTTATCACTGTTATAAGCTTAGGGCTTTTGCATATATAATCTATTTTATAGAATCAAATTTAATAAATAGTCTAATATTTATTATATTTTATAATATGACCATTTTAATATTTATTTAAGTTTTATATTACAAAACTACCCTCTTTACAAATAACATGACCTTATTTTAAATAATTTTTTTTATGAAAACATTCTTTTAAATACTTGAAGATGAAAGAGGGCTTCATTTGACCATCTTTCAAAAAAAAAAAGATTAAGCATTTTTAGATTTACAAGATTAAGCATCTCAATTTGTTATATTTTGCATTATGGCCATTTTAATATTTAGTTGAATTTTATATGATAAAACTATCTTCTTTGCAAATAACATAACCTTCTTTCAAATACTTTCTTTTTTTTTTCTATGAAAACCTTCATTTAAATACTAAAAAATAGAAGAGGGCTTCATTTAACCCTCTTTCAAAAAAAAAATAACAAGATTAAACATCTTCATATTTATAAAATTAAATCATGTTGATGAGTTTTTACTAATATGATTTATCTATGATATAAAATTATATATCAGACACACGAAAAAAATATAATTATTTGCTCAAAACAAATCAAACATACAGTTCATAAAAAATTCTGGACATCATCGCTTATAACGGAGAATCAAATACCTAAACTAATAAACCTCATTTTTCATTATAAGAAATATTGAGATTAAGTACTCTCATATTTATAAGATTAAATGATGTTGATAAATTTTTACCAATAAATTTTATCAGTGATATACGATTATACATCGTTAATATATTATCGTAGATCACAAACATAAAAAAAATATAATCATTTGCTCAAAATAGATCAAACATAGTCCGTAAAAATTATGGACATCT